GGAGGGAATCCGGCATGAATTTGTTTGCCATGCATGTCTGAGCTTTGGAGATCAGCAAGGGGTTGTCCAACGTACGCTCCTCAACTTTAGACTACATGTGGGTACAGCAGTGANNACGGTCTTCGCATTCGAAGCCGCAATCACATTTGAACTCGTCGTCTTCCTCGTCTACCGTCCTATGTCTTCGTCGACGTTCTCGAAGGCCTATGTCCTCGGTCCTGAATTTGACCTTAAGCTTTGTTCCTGCATCCATTGGTCCATGTAGGTAGTCCTTGAACCTATTCCTTCCTTCAACATTCCGTACACTTCTAGACCCTCCTTACCCTTGGATTCCTTCCTTAGATTCTGTTCTCTCTCGGCACAAACAGTCAGTGGGGGGCCTCAATTACGCCGGCATGTGCCCGGTGGATCGACCGGCGCTATTCGAAGTACAAAATGGCTGGTGGTGCAGTCTGTGCCCAGCAATTGACCGGCGCCATACACGACCACGGGCGCAGTGGAACCGGCGATAGTGAGCCCCCCCAAACAACTCTTTCTTTCTTTTCTCCCATCATTGGACTCTGTCGTCTGCCCCTCTGGGCCCTATCCTCCACTTCTACCAGCTAGACGACCCAACCGGGGTCACATAGGTCTGTAGAAAGATGATAGGTTCCTGTTGACAACTGCCGTAACTCCGATCCACTTCGCGATGTTATGAACGTAAATCACCAGCATCGAACCGTTATGCGCACCTGTGTCTCCCTGAGATACCACACACTGGTTCAGTACCACCATAGCCCCGCCCGTGTACCCAAACGTGGGACTTGCAACCTGATTGCGAACATTCAAACACGGCAAAGGGATCACAGCGCTCAAGAATTTTCATCGCATGGACGGATTGTTTATAAGGCAATGCGGGCTGCTCGTATGCAGTACAGTCGACCCGGCTTTAAGGATGCTCGCGTTAAAGAATCTCCCCGCATTAAGGAAACTTCTTTGCTCAGCAACAGGGGGCCCGGCCGAGTATACGATAATGGGGTAACCCCCTTTTTTCTGCCGCGTACCCCCCTTGGTTGTGTCCTGCAGGCCTGCGGGCCGCTCTTTGCACGAACCACGCACCACAGTGAGTGCAGAAGTAGCGACGCACAGACAGCAGAAGTAGCGAGCGGTCTGGTGCTGCAGCTGCAACAGGGTGTTGGTATTATGGATAGATTCCTCCCATCTACGGGCGGTCCATCTGATGCCGCCAAAAAAAAGTCGTGCTTAACCTCGTCCCTCACCGAGGGCGAGGTTATCTCTCGCTTGGAGGACGCTCGATCCTACATTTAAGAACCGTCAAAATCGGATCGAGCCTCAATCCCTTCTTTTGGGTTTAAGTACCGGCCCAAGTCGTCCATTTTCGTAGATGGCATTTCTTCTTCCTTTGGACTGTCGCATCCTCCCGATTCCCTTGTTCCTTAGACTACATCAAGTTCTTCGTATTTTATTTTTCTGTTTTGTGATCTCTGAGGACAATCCACATCATCAAGCCCTCAAGAGAGGTGGTGGAGAGTGCCATCAAACCCGTACAACAGCGGAGAGTATATGGTTGTCCGCGATGTGTGGCAGTGCTACAGTACAGCACTCACTGTGAACAGCAGGGGCGCGGGGGGGGCGGGGGGGACTCTGCCCCTTGCAAAAAAAACGCACTTCTGTTCAGCTTCGGAGGCGGGTGGGAGCACCGCAGATTTCCGATGTCATGGGGGTATCGCACCATCATGTTTCTTATTGGGGGTGTTTCTTACGTTGTGGCCGAGTTTGAGCTATGTTTCTCAGCCCTTTTTTCTTATTTTTCGTACAAACTTGAGCCTTTTTTCTCAACAGATTTTTTCTTAACACTGCGGGCGCTATCTGTATTTGTACGCGAAGGGAAGGGATGGCAAGTACCGACCTTCTTTCGAGGACCGTTCATTCGTTTACTCATGAAACTTAACAGAGCCGTAGAGCCGAGCCGCGGGGGAAGGTTCAGGGAACTCTTCGCGATATATATGTGGAAGGAAAAGCCATCCAGATAGCTTTTGGTCTCCGCCGGGACTGTGATGTGTACTGGTGTTCCTCGGTGCGACGCTGGAATACGCTCGTTTTTTTTTGGTTCACAAGAATGCGATAAATATATGTCTCCTTGGACTTTCCTCCTCCTCCCGCTGCCGGCTATGCGGTACATTAGTTGGCCAAGTACAAACTGGTGTGCTGTAGTTGTCTTCAACACGTCCCCGACTGCTGTTAATCTCATTTGAAGTAATGTNGTAGAGCCGAGCCGCGGGGGAAGGTTCAGGGAACTCTTCGCGATATATATGTGGAAGGAAAAGCCATCCAGATAGCTTTTGGTCTCCGCCGGGACTGTGATGTGTACTGGTGTTCCTCGGTGCGACGCTGGAATACGCTCGTTTTTTTTTGGTTCACAAGAATGCGATAAATATATGTCTCCTTGGACTTTCCTCCTCCTCCCGCTGCCGGCTATGCGGTACATTAGTTGGCCAAGTACAAACTGGTGTGCTGTAGTTGTCTTCAACACGTCCCCGACTGCTGTTAATCTCATTTGAAGTAATGTAAATATGTTCGACGTCAACAAAGGGTTGCCAGTCGTCTCGGCGATGCTGGCTTTTCGTACCACCCCCTTCCTTAGCAAGGATGCCTAGTTTGATGTATAGCATGCCTCCATTGGCCCCGGGGATGGTGATCTATCGTTGCCTGAATTGGAAGGACGCAACCCCGCTTTAAGGGCGCTATTTTTTTCTGTAAAAACTATTATGCATATGTGCGTCCTTAAAGCGGGGTCTCCCTTCTTCCCCTCGCTCCTCGACAAGCTTTTGCTTAGACATGGGTTGTAGTGAAGGGGGGGGTCTTTCTGGCGAGCAGGGCTAGACTCACCCTCAAGGGATGACCGAAACCTTCTTGCTGCTGCGCATATCCGCCGCGAGGCATGCGCGTGGTGGTGTAGTTGGGTCGGCACTGATGGGGTCAGGC